GGTACTTGCAAATATTGTTTCATTGTCCATGTCTGAACTGCCTTTTTGATGACGCAGATCATACCGTACGCATTTTCCGATTGTGCGTACAAAAACGTAAGCTACTATGTTATGAGGAACGAACAATCTCAAGTGGTTGCTGATGCCACCGAAAATGTTACTCCACAGCATCAAAAGAAATTGCCCGCGCCCAAACCACGACAAGCCGAGCACTGCTGGAAACCCATGTTATCGACTGATAAGGCGATTTGACGCCGGCCGACAGAGCCACTTTCACGCCTACTTTATGCAGCGTAGATTGGTTAGCACTACTTATGACTGCCGCCTTGTCCGTAGCGAGAAAGTATTGCACGGTTTCTTCGCGCCTGCGTGTTCGACGTCTGCTGTGTTATACTCTTGTGCCTGGAAAATAATAAGGGTACAGAACAGCGATAACATTAGGTGCTGGAACCACCCTACAAGACTAGTAATAGTATGAATGGAATTATTGTGGCCTAGAACGGAGGCATTGATGTCAGATATATGCGCCGCAGCATGCTAAGATTAAGGAAGGGGGAAAAAGTGTGGAAGGTGCAGTGCAAGTGACCGTCCCTGCGCCAACTGTGGACCCCACCGGAATCGACGGTTGCACTGTCGTGCGTCAAAATTTTATTAGATGTGCATACATCTTGCTTTCAGCAAGTTGGCAGAAAGGAATATGGGGAGGTTCCGTCCTGTCTACAACTCACATTAAGGGTATCATTGTTGATTTTCAACCGTGCTGCTTCTACCACATAAGTATCTCGAATTTAGTGGGAGAGGGAAATATCTCTGCTCCCTTAGTTTTAATAGGATATAGAATGCATTCAATTCCTTGCAGTTGTTTCGTATCATTTAAGAGCAATCACGCTTGCTTCCCTAACATTATTTGGTCAAGTCGTGTCAAATGTGTCCGTATGTGATGTCCATATGTGCTTTATTAAATTCGTTTTTTTTGTATCTGACGCCTTAAGCCATCGCTATTTTTTTCTTTTAAATATGAAGGACAGTTAACTGATGGAACGCTGTCCCTAAGCCACAAAAGCGACGATGCAATATTCTTGCTATGTAGCCACCACCGTCGTTAGTAGTACAGTAGCCGCCGAAGACCATGCAACGCTAATTATGAAATTTGGCTAG